TCTAGACGCTTATACAACGCTATGCAATTGTTCACGATGCTGAAAATTTACTCTAGTGTTGATATTTAATAAAAATTATTGCCAAACTTTTGGTAAAATAAAAATAAAAACCCTTTTTCCATCAAAACAAAAATCCTAAATCAACACCAACTCGAAAAGTTGAGGTTCGATCCCTGCTCGGGACCATTTTTTTTTAATTCTTAAAACGAGAGTAAAGTGAATAGCAGGAATTAAAGTCATAATAATGAATTTTTGCGAAACAAACAAAAAAGTGCGTTTTATTAAAAAAACTTGTTTAATAATAATTTTTAATCAAATTTTATAATTAATTAAATTCTAAAGCTTGGCTCAAAAACACTTCTCCATTTAGATCCCAAATTTAAAAAAGTATGAATTAAAAAAATTAATAAAACTAGAAATTCTAGTCTAGACCCTTATACAACGCTATGCAATTGTTCACGATGATGAAAATTTACACTAGTGTTGATATTTAATAAAAATTGTTGCCAAACTTTAGTAAAATAAAAATAAAAGCCTTTTTTTCATAACCTAAATCAACACCAACTCGAAAAGTTTAGGTTCGATCCCTGATCGGGACCATTTTTTTTATTTTTAAAACAAAAGTAAAAAATTAAAGTCTAACTACTAATACTAATAAAACTAATAAAATTCCAAAGCTTTGGGTCAAAAACACTTCTCCATTTAGATCCCAAATTAAAAAAAGTATTAATTAAAAAAAATTATAAAACCAAAAATTCTAGTCTATAATTGTTCACGACAATGAAAATTTACACTAGTGTTTATATTTAATAAAAATCGTTGCCAAACTTTGGTAAAATAAAAATAAAAACCCGTTTTCTATCAAAACAAAAACCCTAAATCTCGAAAAGTTCAAGTTCAATCCCTGGTCCGGACCATTTTTTTTTTAATTTTTTGACCGAGATTAAATTGAATAGCAAAAGTAATAATAAATAATAATAATAAATTTGCCATACAAAGAGAGAAAATGCTTTATGCGTTTTTAATTAAAAACTTGTTTAATAACATAATCAAATTCTCGACCTTTGGGTCCCAAACGAGTGAAAGGCCCCAAACGACTGTAGTAAAAAAATGAATAAAACTAGAAATTCTACCAGTCTAGACACTTACATAACCCAATGCAATTGTTTACAATAATGAAAATTTCCTACAAAGTGTGATTAAATAAAAAAACGCTAGAGTGAAATTAATTATGACAATTATTGGTATCCGTGTCCGCCCTTCAACTCCGATTGGCCAATAATTATGGAAGAAAAAAATGAAAAGTCAATTTGAAATAAATCATTAGCGCTGCTGGAAATGGACATGCAAAGGTCATTTGATTTTTCTCCAACTCGATTTGCATTTGTTTAAATTTGTTCGTAATTTTTGTGATGTCGCAATCGCAAACACTAACCTAGTCCAACACCTAAAAATAGCTTGTTTCAAGGCGTGCTGCGATGTGACTCAATTTTGGGCGCACTTTTGTGCAAAATCTAGCCGGCTAGGAAACAAGGGCGGATCTAGGGGGGCAGGGCCCCCCCAGACTTGCCAACAAAAGCTTCAATTTTTTATATTTAAATTTTAATATAAAAACCTTATGACCTAAAGATTTTTAAATAACAACATTAGAATTCTTTTTAAATCACACTTATTAATACAAATCATACATATACCGAGTGATCAAAATAATTTGTAGTCATTTTTCGATCCGAAAACGTACAGTTCGGAATTCAAATTTCGGGCAGTACTGGCATTTTCATAATGTAAACTCTAAAACAACCTTTATATTAATAACCTCATTTTTTACTCTTGTCGTATTTATGTCATTTTGACTTATTTACTTTCAAAAATAGTGATTTGTGGCATAATAACGGGTAGGTAGCAGATCTTAATAAATTTCCTAAGACGGACAAATTGCTTAATTAACAAATTTAACAACAAAAAAAATAAATTAATTGTCAAATGTCAGTCATGATGACAGTAAAAGGTAGTTTACAGTGAACTTTTTAAAGTGACAGAAAAATAGGTACTGCCCAAATTTTTAATTTTGAACTAACTGCACGTGAAACGTCAAATAAAATGACAAGTCGAAAACGGCAAAATGGGCTGGAATTAGTCGCCGACGTATAATAATAAGACCGTTCTTTTTTGAAGGTAAATCATAAATTTAGTTATCTTTTAGATCATGGGATTTTACCTTTTCACTTGTCATTTTATTTGACGTTTCACAGACATATGCACAGGACATACGTTTTCGGATACAAGGACAAATTATCTTGATCTCTCGATACTTCCTTAGTTTTTACTAATTTAAAAAGAAATCATCAATTGTAATTTTCTTTGGGCCACATCTTAGATATCTAATTAAATTAAGTTTATATCTCTTTGAATAATGAACTTTACCAACTCGCTAGAACACCTTATACACAATTTTCAACTTGTTTTAAAATTCTACACTTTTTGGTTTTTGGGTAATGACGACAGCGACATTTTTTTTTTAATGGAAACTCCTATTGTTTTAGCGAATTCGATAGATAATTGTCGAAATGGCAACACCAAAATATTGTGTATTACATAGTTTTAAAAAAAAAATTATCCAAAAAGTGAAATAATATCAATAAAAAACAAAGATACAACTTTAAATCAAGTTAAAAATTTTGTATTTGTTAAAAAGAAAATTGACCTGTTCGAGCATTTTTCCAAAACAAAATATTTTCAGTTTTAATATAAATAAGATTATTCTATAATTTTGCCGCTCACTGTAGACCTACCCTCATCATTTAAAAATTTTTTAGATAGCCCCCCCAAAATTAATTCCTGGATACGCCCCTGCTAGGAAACAATGATAATTATGCACAGTGAGCACCGACATTCTGTCTATGTCGCAAAATCGGGTTCATTCACTCGCGAAGTGAAACACGATTTTTCCAAACTAGATTTTAATGAAAATTAGAAGGCGAGGACCGGGATGTGGGATGTGGGGGCTGCTTCTCGGGGCTGCTCCACGCGGCCATACGACCGGTAATTATCAGCGATGTGCATATGTTTTTCTTTAACAACGCGATATTCGATTATCCCGATCGCAATCATGTACAGAAACGGTACTAAAAATCAGACAATTCGGGAATTTGGCAAAAATCGAAAACTGACCCACTTTGCTCAATTACCATAACCACCAAAATCCATAACGTGATTTTCTCGCTGGTGGTGAGGTATATAATCAAGAGGCCCAAGCCTTGGGTCGCCATCGCGCAAATATTGAAACAGAGAAATGTTAAAACACAAACACGGTCTTCCTTAAAATTCCATTTTTAACATTGTTTTTCATGAAATAAAATACCTGAAGTGTCCCAATAAGGAGTGTGACTCCAGCTAATGTCAGTAAGAGAACGTTCATGACTATCACAGTTTCAGGTCCTAAGAAAAAAAATTATTTCGTTCTTAAAACATCGACACTGACCTTTTGACAGATGTAAAACTATCAGCAAAACCAATTTTACGAACGCAATAATCTGCAAAACTGATATCAAAAGTGATTTTTTCGCTCTTGTGACTTACGAAGTAAAATGCGGATCCGATGAGACATCCTGTTCGGATTGGGAGGAAAAAACAGCACGTTGTCATTTCAGAAATGACAGTTTTGACAACTTTGCCAATCATCGACATGAGTCATTTGGTGTTAATTGTATACTATTAATATTTCATTACTTTTTACGGTTTTGGGGTAATGACACAAAAGCCTGTGATAATTATTTTCTAATTACATTAATTATCACAGATACTATCGATTCTGTGACTCACGAACGTAATTTTGAGCGATAACAGCGATTTTCTACGATTTTTGGTAAAAATAACAATAGGAAATCGTTTCATTGTTAAATACTGAGAAAAAAGTAAAGATCAACTCGAAAAGTTGGGGTTCGAGCCCTGGTTCAAACCATTTTTTTTTGGACGAGAGTAAAAATGATAAAGGTCATAATAATGAACTTGAAACCTTTTGCAGTACAGACACAAAAAAATACAGTTCTATTCTATTTTAAACATAACTAAATATCAACTCAAAAAATTTAGGTTCGAACTTTGGTCCGACCAATTTTTTTTCTATTTCTTGAACACAAAAAATAGTATATTATGTTATTAAAAGTAAAAAAAATAGCAAATAATTCAGCTGAGCCATATAAACTCACATTTTCTCCAAATAACATATACTATTTTATCCGCAAACGTATTCAAATTTAAAGTAAAGAGCAACACAATAATTATCAAGTAAATGAACAAAATAATCAGGAAGCTTTGCAATGAAAAAATACTAGTGGGTGACTAGTGCAGTTAGTAGTGCAAAAAGTCGGAAAATCAAGAAAATGCAGCGAAAGACACAACATTGGTAAATGTCATAATAAATGTCAGGTAAAAAAAAAACGCTTAGGCAAAAAAACTGTGTTTTTATTCCACGTCTGAAACGTAAAACTTTTATGTCATTTATAGTCATAAAAGTGTCATTTTTCTGACGTTTTTGGATAAACATTATTACGCAGCTAAAACTTTGACTATTAGAGAATAAAAAAGTAGAGTACAGATCACTAAAAAAGCCAAAGTTTAACATTTATTTTATTCCTGTTGTATAAATAACGTAATTTTGAGCGATAACAGCGATTTTCTACGATTTTTGGTAAAAAAAAACAATGGGAAATCGTTTCATTGTTAAATACTGAGAAAAAAGTAAAGACCAACTCGAAAAGTTGGGGTTCGAGCCCTAGTTCAAACAATTTTTTTTTTCTGAACGAGAGTAAAAATAATAAACTTGAAACCTTTTGCAGTACAGACAAAAAAATACAGTTCTATTCTATTTTAAACATAACTAAATATCAACTCAAAAAGTTTAGGTTCGAACCCTGGTACGACCAATTTTTTTTCTATTTCTTGAACACAAGAAATAGTATATTATGTTATTAAAAGTAAAAGGAATAGCAATAATTCAGCTGAGCCACATAAACTCACTTTTTCTCCAAACAACATATACTATTTTATCCGCAAACGTATTCAGATCTAGAGTAAAGAGCAACACAATAATTATCAAGTAAATGAATAAAATAATCAGGAAGCTTTGCAATGAAAAAATACTAGTGGGTGACTAGTGCAGTTAGTAGTGCAAAAAGTCGGAAAATCAAAAAAATGCAGCGAAAGACACAACATTGGTAAATGTCATAATAAATGTCAGGTAAAAAAAAACGCTTTAGGCAAAAAAACTGTGTTTTTCTTCCACGTCTGAAACGTAAAACTTTTATGTCATTTATTAGAGAATAAAAAAGTAGAGTACAGATCACTAAAAAAGCCAAAGTTTTACATTTATTTTATTCCTGGTGTATAAATAACGTAATTTTGAGCGATAACAGCGATTTTCTACGATTTTTGGTAAAAAAAAAACAATGGGAAATCGTTTCATTGTTAAATACTGAGAAAAAAGTAAAGACCAACTCGAAAAGTTGGTGTTCGAGCCCTAGTTCAAACCATTTTTTTTCTGAACGAGAGTAAAAATAATAAAGGTCATAATAATAAACTTGAAACCTTTTGCAGTACAGACACAAAAAATTACAGTTCTATTCTATTTTAAACATAACTAAATATCAATTCAAAAAGTTATCTTGAACACAAGAAATAGTATATTATGTTATTAAAAGTAAAAGGAATAGCAAATAATTCACCTGAGCCACATAAACTCACTTTTTCTCCAAACAACATATACTATTTTATCCGCAAACGAATTCAGATCTAGAGTAAAGAGCAACACAATAATTATCAAGTAAATGAACAAAATAATCAGGAAGCTTTGCAACGAAAAAATACTAGTGGGTGACTAGTGCAGTTAGTAGTGCAAAAAGTAGAAAAATCTACAATGTACCTCTCCAGAAAATGCAGCGAAAGACACAACATTGGTACATGTCATAATAAATGTCAGGTAAAAGTGAAAAACGCTTAGGCAAAAAAAATGTGTTTTTATTCTGAAACGTAAAACTTTTACATTTATAGTCATAAAAGTGTCATTTTTCTGTCGTTTGCGGATAAACATTATTACTCAGCTAACTACTAGAGAAAAAAAAAAGTAGAGTACAGGTCACTAAAAAAGCCAAAGCTTTACATTTATTTTATTCCTTTGTATAAATAAACGTTATACGTTTTTTGCATTCATTTTTTATGACTTTATTCCTTTATTGTCCTTTTTATTATTCTTCAAGTGAAGTCTATTGTTTTTTGATACGAGTATAAATTTGATAAAAATTTAAAAGAAAATATACGAAACAAAGAAGAATATGAAAAAAATAAAAAGTGAAAAATGTAAAAATAATAAAATAAAATTTTTATTCTGACTGAAAAATAAAATTTTTACGTTTGTCATTTAATCATAAAAGAGTCATTTTTCTGACGGAAAAAATAATAATTTTGTTATTCCTAGTGGGAAAACCACTATAAAAATATTTTTCTCGCCTATCGGTCAATTTTTCTTTGACAAACAAGCGATAAAAAGTCTAGATCGGTCATAAAAATCCCCTTTTTATCAGATATTGAACCAAGTGTATTTAATTCATTAGTTATTTGAAAAAAATCTAATTCGATTGAAATTTTATAATTTCACGAGCCGATTACACAACCGACTTTTTGTTTCAATATAAAAGTGGTAAAAGTAGGCCAGTTGAAATAACGATGATTATCACATTTAATAATTACAATCCGTGAAAATTAAATTTGAATCAGCACACATTGCGCTTAAAATCCTAGGAGAAAAAAGTCTAATGGTATTTGTTAGGAACCCACAAGAAATGAATTCACCCGTAAATGTCACCATAGCGACTTTCACATTTGTTTTATGAGTCACGCTGTATTTTTTTCAAGATTTCCATTGTGCGCAAAATAAATACCAGAGCGAAAATGGGGGAATAAGAGTCGTGCGTAAATCCGAGATATTTATTAAATAATAAAAACAAGAACATTTAAGTAGTATAAAATTTACACCATTATTATAAACATCTTTACAAAATGTAGTTCTTTGGAAATATATTAAGATTTACAAGTACACTCTATACATTATACATTTATACATTAACTTAAGTATTTTACAATAAAATTATAAGGTGTAACAACGATATATTTTCAGTAGAAAAATATATCTTAAAATACATTTAATTTACTAACAGTTAAGAAGGTACACGGATTGCATCGTTTCTCATCGCATTTTAAATACAATTGTTTGATCACAAAAACGAACGGAATAAATCTAATGTATTTTTAATACCCGTTAACAAACTCTGTCGTCGAAAAGATTTCGTCGGTGTTTCGCGTAGAAAAAAGTTCGTTCGTTGTAGTGAAACAACTGGGAAATCTTTTGCAAGACGACACTCCACTCATATTTCTAATAAATAAAAGTTTTTAGAACACGTGTCATAGGAGATCTAACTACCGAACCTCTCACAAGATTCAACAAATTCGAATGATTGTCATTAATCGTGGGGGCTACGGTCCATATTCGTGCAACGTCTCCATCAACCTTCTACTATCTTCGGACCTGTACAAAAAACGCATTAGACAGGTCCCCTGAGCCCCCTTCCCCACCCTTACATTTGCTGCTGCTGCTGCAACTGGAAGGTGTCTAGATGCTTGTTGATCTCCCTGTGCACGTGCTCGGGCAACACCCCCACATTGGAGAAGAGACTCCTCAACACGTTCAACTCCTCCGTGAGCAACTCTATCCTCTTTTGCAGTCTTTCGTTTTCCTTCATCAAAATCTTGACTTTCTCCTCCGTCTCCCTCGTCCGCACTTTGGCCTTCTCGCGACTCTTCCTCACCGCGATGTTGTTCCGCTCCCGGCGGCGGCGGTACTCGTCGCTGTTCTTATCACAGGGCTTAACAGACTTGCGCGCGATGTGCTGATTCAGCATCATCGTCTTGCTCTTCATCGCGTTCATGTGGTGCATGACGGGGCTGGGGGCCAGCGTGGTGAAGGTGGCGGCGGCGGGGGCGGCGGGATACCCGCCCGCCATGTACCCGTTGGGCATGACGTTGCACTGGCGGCGGTACTCCTGCGGGTCCACCGGCTCCTCCTTGATGCTGGGGACGTCGCTCCCGGCCGAGCTGTTGGAGTCGCTGTTGGAGTTGGGGGTGGCGGAGTAGGAGGCGCTACTGTGCACCGGCTGCGGCATGTATGCCAACGTGGTGCGGGGGTAGGTGTTGGGGGCCATCGGACGCGGTTGGAGCCCTTGGAGGTGCTTCCCTTGGCTCTGGTGGAGGATGTCGGAGAAGAGGTTGTCGCTGAATTGGGAGTCATCGATGAGGTTTTGCAAATCGAGCGAGATCTCCGGAGTGTTCAAATCGTTCAATTCCCCGTGCTGTTGGTACTGCTGGAGGTGGTGCTGTTTCAACAGCGCTGTTGTCTGCTTCGAAATCCCCGTGTTGTTATTCAAGTTCGTTAAATTATTATTGTTGTTGTTGCTGTTCATTATGACAGTCTTTTTTACTTCGTTGCTTGGTTGGCCCTGCTGATGATTGTCGTACATTTGGGGAGAATCCATTTTCGGCACCGACTTTCACTGAGTCCACTTTCACTGCCGAAACCGAGTTCAATCAAGTCCAAGACACGCACACTACGCACTTTCCCAGTTTTTAATTCGCTTTAAATTCGATTCCGGTTCCATTATTATAAACACAAACACTGTCTTTTTGACCAAAAAAAAATTTCGATTCCTAGGGTGCGTTGATTTGCGCGCCAACGTGATCCTGATATCTGTCAGGTGTACTCACACAGCCTACTTGGGGACCACACCGTTCGTGCGCTTGCCCAAGCCAACTTGATACTGAGATTGCTTAGCGCTATTCCTGCTGTTTGTAGTGGTTAAGCGGGCTCATGCGCTCTGCACATTCCTGCTGACGTACGGTTTGAAAGTGAAACATTGCGATTTGATTTCGTGCGCTGCGTTTTTTTGACGTAATTACCAATTTCGACGAGTACTACAGCAGGAAAACAAACGCATTACGACAATCGAGAAAAATTCAAGAAACGCACGAAAAACATACATTTTTTTTACCAACACAAGCGCACATTTATCACGACTTGTGGGTGGCGGACGGCTTCTTGGGACGCGTTCAAACCATCACTCAATTTAATATAATCACATACAGAGCGCTCAAAAAGTTGATAACAAAAAAAAATTCGAAAAAATTATTCTCTGAATTTAAAAAATATACAGGGTGCGCCAGAACTCGCGCCCCAGAGAAAAATGCCATATTAGGGACGATATCAGGAACATGGAAAAAATGTTAAAAAAATTTTATCTATAAAATAAAAGTTATGAGAGTTTAAATTTTGCACTTTGACTCTATTTATTTCTGTTGGAAAAATAATTTTTCAAGTTTTTTGCTACAGTCTATTAGAAGAGGAAACAAGGAAACAGTATCCTAAATTGTAACTCTGTTCAATGTTATTTGTGGCTTTTATTGGCAAAATTTTTGTACCATAACTAAATAATTGTAAAAAAAACATATACAAGATCATCAGTATCATTAAATAGACATGAAAAAATGTCAAATATCAAAAAATATATGTCAAAATTTTTTGACAGATAGAATTTTTTAAACATTGTTTTCATGTTCCTGATATCTTACTTAAAATTTTTCTCTGAGGCGCGAGTTTTGACGCACCCTGTATATTCAGCAAAAAAGATATAACAACACTGTGTATTAATATTAGCTGTGGTCTTGGTAACTCTGTATTATTCCCTAGGAGACGGTTACTGAGGTTTTAAAAATAATTACTTTTTATTGTTGCTCAAATTGCAATGCCGTTATTATTACTAGACAATGTTGCCACATTCCATTTATTTAGAATGTGTATAGAACGCTTCAAAATTATTGACATCTCGGTGGGCGTTGAGTATGTAAATCAGACTTTAATTTTAGTTTCAGTGTGAACATTCTTTAGCATGAGAAATGACATTTCAGTTGAATTCTGTCAAAAAAATAACATAATCTATTTGTCCAAAAGAAATATGGATCTGGGTTTTCTAATATATATTTCTTTTAACGCCTGTATATTTAATAATTTTGACAACAAATTTTTAGTCACGTGACCTTTCAAATGCGACTGCATAAGAGAGGTCCGCTAAATTATTTGTTTGTAAATATGAATTTTAACCTAATGACATGAATATAAAATTTAGAAATTTGTTATGCAAATTGCGCTCAGTTTTGCTTTCGTTGGTGGCATTTAAATAAAAAGAGAAATGTGTCATATGAGGCATTTAATAGTTATTTATGTATCAAGGGAATAAACAACTATTTTATTCCCTTCGGTCGTCTATGGCATTCAATTACAATTTTAAGAGTAAAAATCGGTATTTCATTTATTTTATTCCTGAGAGAATAAAGCGTCATTTTATTCCCCGTTACAAGAAAATTGCGGAACCGTGTAAGATAAATTGGAGAACCTTGCAAAATTTGTTGATATTTTCAAAGGAAGCAGCGTTCAAGGTATGTTCATGGTTACATTTCGCTCGATTTGAATATTATTAGAGAAGGAATAATTAAGTGCCACATGGAGGCTTAGTGATAAGTGATAACAGATAAGAATCTGTTTTTAGAGTAGGCTTCCTTGACCTGTAAATGGGGGGCCAAAAGATGCGTCTAGTGGATCGAGTGATTGAAAAAAAAAAATTCGATAAGAATCTCAGGAAGCTGCGAATAAGATCAGATTATCGAAACAATCGCATATCTACATGTTGTAACAATCAGCAAACGTTAATTGGGAACAAACGTGCCTAAAAACGACACTAATCGCGTGAAATTTCCGTCGGTTTTATAAAATCTAGTTAACACCTGTCATTTTTGACCATTATTATTATTACCCGTGTCATGTGACATCAATGTTTACACTATCAGATTTTTTCTCGACTTGTGTTAACCTTTAGAAGAGATGAAATCAAGCCACACGGAAATTACGAAAATGTTAGACACACTGAGTAATTTATTAGCGCCTACCTGAGTGGAGTGTAATTTTAGGTACTTTTGATTTATGCCCAGATTTTGTTGGCAGCTCCTGTGGCTACAAGTGATTCACCAGTCTAAGAATTAAGAGAAAAGAGGTGCTTTTTTATTTATTTCTTCTATCGGTAAAAAAGTGTCATAAAGTACCGTTATTTGCACCCTTTTGACTACCGGCCACCAGCTGGCGCCACATTACTTGAGGCGCTTGTTTCATGACCTACTTTCATCCCGATCTATGCACATTCCTGCACGTGTGAATCAGGTTTGTGACGTAACATGATGCTTCCAGGACCGCCTATAATACACACTGTTTTTTAAATAAATGTGAAACTACTTTTCTTCCATTACCATTTGGATTATAATATGTACGAGAATTGTAATAATAATTTTTTTACCAATTTTAATATAAATTTTTACTGAAAATTCTGACAATTTACTCATACACGAAACCCAAAAAAAAGTTATAACCGGTGTCGTGTGCAGGAGTCATAAAAACAACTCAGCGTGTGCATCAAAGGCGGGGCCCTAAACGTCATGTTACGTCATAAACCTGATTCACACGTGCGGGTATGTGCATAGTCAAAGTAGGTCATGAAACAAACGATAGTTTCGCACTCTAGCGCCCTCTACTCAGCGGTAGCCAAACCACATAACTGGAATAAATACTAATTTTTTTTAAAAAAGGTACCTCTTTATTTAGTTTGTCGAGAAGTTGTAAAGTTATTTTTCTCTTCTTGTAATCATTATCACTTTTTTTTCTTTTTTTGTTA